TGTGATGATGATGATGGTGGTGGTGATGATGATGATGATGGTGATCATGCTGATGATGCTGCTGCTGTTAATGATGATGATGATGCTGCTGATGATGCTGCTGATGATGGTGATTATGCTGATGATGATGATGCTGATGATGATGATGATGATGATGATGATGAAGATGATGATGATGATGATGATGATGATGATGATGATGATGATGATGATGATGATGATGATGATGATGATGATGATGATGATGAGGCGGAGGAGGAGGAATAAGACGAGGATAATGCGGAGGAGGAGGAGGAGGAGGAGGAGGAGGAGGAGGAGAAGGAGGAGGAGGAGAGGAGGACAAGGAGGAGGTGGAGGAGGAGAAGGATTCCGAGCATAGCCAAGTTGGTGTGCTCAGGCCAGTTATGCTTTTGCCCGAGGGCCCGTCGACTTGGACCGAGCCGGGCTGAGTTCACAGCCGAGCTCACATTCGAATGGCCCCATGAATCTTCGAGGTTAACCGTGATTCCGTCTGCACACAGAAGGCAACCACTTCGTTCACGCGCACCCGTACCCAGATGCGTAACTGCACAGATGCTTTTTGCATACTCCTCCGCTGTGGCCTTGCCCCTGCGTGCGAGGGTGCGGGACCCGATTGATTGTACCAGGTATCGACGGGTGAGGAGGGCTGAGACGAAGTGGATGTTTGCTTGACATTCCAAGCGGTGCTTGTACTGGAGAGGTTCCTACATGTCTCTAGCAGCTGACTTTTTTTGGACGCTACGTTTATTCCTGGCTGTTCCAGGCGTGACGGTCACCCAGTGATGGCAGCCCCCTCCCTCCCTAGGGATTTCCTCATCGTGTGCAGATGACAGGGCCCCGGCGGGTCTCAGTATTGTTGTCAGATGGCATGACCCACGTACGGTGCTTTATATTCCCCAATCAGTGCTTGCACTGAAGGGGTCCTGGTGGGAAATGAAAGATTTGGCGAAAGTGTCCCGCCGATTTTGGTGGCCGGCTGGGTTTCCAGGTTCCCATTTCCGGGTTTCTGGGTTCTTGGTTATTGGTTCCGGGCCGATTTTGGTGGGTTCCTGGTCGATCTCCTTACCGATCTCTTTATCGATCCCATATCAAATCATCCACTGATTGGGGCTTTCCTCTGGTTTAATGTGGTCCTTGCATACGCCCCACAGGCTGTCCTCATTTGTGGCCAAATGATCGGGCCTTTGAACAATTCAGCAGTTCTAGTCACATGGTACTGTCCACTAAAGAGTGGATGTAGCTCGGCCGCGCCAGGCTGAGCTCGATTCAGCTGAGCGGATCTGAGCTGAGCTGGTTTGCGCGGGGTTTTTAGCCAGGCTGGCTCGGATTCTGGTGGGGTTATCTGGACTGAGCTGGACTGAGCTGAGCTGAGTTGGGCTGACAAAGGGTGGTATGGATTGGGCTTGACGGGTCCAGGCTCGGTTGGGCCGACTTGCAACGAGCTGTGCCGAGCTGGGCTTAGCTGGGATGAGCTGGGCTGGGCTGTGTAGCGCCGGGACGAGCTGGATCGAGTTGCAGTGAGTTGCAGTGAGTTGGCCTGAGCTGGGCTGAGCCGCCGTGCTGGGCAGAGTCGAACGCAACTGGGCTGGGCGAGCTTAGCCGGGTGAAGTAGCTAAGTTGGGCTGAGCTGGGCTGAGTCGGGCTGAACTGGGCTTGGCATGGCTGGGCTGGGCTGAGCTGGACCACGTTGGAGTGAGCTGGATTTGCCAGGATTAAGCTGGACTGGGCCTGGCTGTGCTAAACTGAGCTGGGCTGAGCTGGGCAGAGTTCGACTGAGCTGGACACGTCTGGGCTCAGCTTGACATCGTCGAGGATTACTCGGGGGAGTGTACTCGACGAGGATTTTGTTTCGGCACCCGTCTCCAATTTATTACTCTTACCCCTGGCGGGGGAGCCGGAACAAATCGAACGTTGACACCATTTTCCACTTGGGAGCAGTGGTGGGGTAGAAGTGTCCGACGGTTGCCCGGACTCGAGCGCTAATTTCTGCCACTCTGGAAGAGCGGACACATGCTTGGTTTGCGAGCATCCAGGCTGTGAAGCGCAAGTGGCAGGCAGCCGTTTTCGTGATTCCGATGGCGGCCCAGATTCGTGGGCGAGTGGGAGAGGGGGGGGGATGGTAGGGGGATGCGATGAGTTGTCAGGGGGGATGATAGGGAGGGGAAGTGGAATGGCGAGGGGGGTGGTGCTCCGCCCTCCAGAGCGGGCGTGGTCAGAGAGTCGACGGGTCAAACATGCTGCGGGGAACAGCGGGGCCCAGCATACCAGTCGGCGCTTGGACTTGCCAGCCCTCTGCCATGACCCCAGACGTCTGGCGTCTCGATTTTTTTGGAAACGCAGGCCCCCGACCTCTCGACCACTCCCCCGGGACTGGTGTTTCATCCCGAGTCGTTTTTTGACCATCCCGCGGCCGGGCAAGGGCCCCGGGAGGCCGGGAATCTCTGGAAACCTCCGTCTCGCCTGTTTCCAGGCGCGGGATGTTCGGGACTGCTTTATATTCGACGGAGAAAAAACGCCATGAACACAGACTTGTGGCGCTCCGCGCGGATTGGACCCGCGCTGGGGCCCCCTCTGGAGGCGCCTCCTCTGGCGCCGCCCCTGGCGCGGCTCCAAGGCATCCGCGCGGAGCGCCAAGAGTCTTATGCTCCTGGCGTGCTTTCTTCCTGTCTGTAATGCGCGCCTTCCGGCCTCTTCGGGTGCAACTCCTGGGAGGTCAAACTCTGATCTAGCCCTGGTCCGAACTCCGGCTTCATCCGGCTTAATCCCGCTTCATCCGGCTTATTATCCCGCTTAATCCCGCTGAATCCGGCTTAGTCCTGCCTAGAGTCCGAGGCCCATTCCGGCGTAACAGCTCCCAAATGGGGCTTCATCCTCTTTAATTTTTCCGACGAAAACCTTCCAGTCGTTGCCTCCTAACTCCAGCCTCGCTGCTCCGGCACGGCGCAGGAGCGGGCCTTGCAGGCACCGCGCGGCCGCGGGCAGCTCGCCGCGGCAGCCCCTTTGGGGGTTTCGCCGGGGTGCCGGCCGCCCGGGCTAGAGGTCGTGGTGGTGGACTTCCCGGAGGAGAGGAGGCCGTGGGAGAAGCAGGAGCAGAAGAAGAGGGAGATCCTCGAGGACGCAAGGCGAAAGCTGGGGCCTATACTAGGGGAGCAACAAGTGACACAAACATAAAAGCTCGGAGGTCCGCGCGGATTTCTCGGATCCGCGCTGGACCCCCCTAGCGGCGCCTCCGGCGCCGCCCCTGGCGCGCTCCGCGCGCCAGGGAGGGGGGTCCAGCGCGGATCCGAGAAATCCGCGCGGACCTCTGAGTTTTGTTGTTTATGTCACTTTTTTGTTCTTCTATATACATTACCAGTGGCGGGCCGTTTTCCAATCCCAGGACTTTTTGAGGGTCGAGGACGACGTCGGGTTGGTGTAGTGCATGCTTGTTTCCCCGTCTTCCCAGGAAGCATTAGAAGATGTATACACCAGGGTCCCGGATACACCAGGCTCCGCTTTCTTGCGCAAAGGTCCGTGCATGGCCGCACGCAAACGTCGGTGTATAGAGTAGCAAGACTCGAAGAAGAAGACCAGCCCAAATTGAAACTTTTCACGGTCCGCGCGAACCGTCAAGAGTTCTGTTGTGCTTGATCGAGGAAGAAAGCGAACGCCATGAACATGGACTTTTGGCGCTCCTCGCGGATTTCTTGGATCCGCGCTGGGGCCCCCTCTGGAGGCGCCTCCGACACCGCCCCTGGCGCGCTCCGCACTCCAGGGAGGGGGGTCCAGCGCAGATCCAAGAAATCAGGGAGGAGCGCCACAAGTTTATGCTTGTGGCGTTGTTCTTCTTCTAAGAAGAGCAGCCCAAACTGAAACTTTTGACGGTCCGCGCGAACCGTCAAGAGTTTGTGTTGATGCGGCTTCTTCTGCCTCCAGGCTCGGCGGCTAAATCCGAACCCTACCCTCGCCTATCAACGATTCAGGCAACTCGGTGGGCGGCGGGGGTAGGGTTCGGAATTCGTCGAAATCGGTGCGAAACCCGAACCATACCCTCGCCTCCAATCGATTCAGGAGAATCGATGGTTGGTGCGGGTAGGGTTCGGATGTCGCCACCTAGAAGAAGTAATTGCATACATGCCACCTTTCGGAGCTCCGCGCGGGTTTCTTGGACTGGCGCTCGATCCCCCTGGCAGCGCCTCCGCCGCCTCCACTGGCGCGCCCCGCGCGACAGGGAGGGGTGCCCGGCGCCGATCCAAGAGATCTGCGCGGAGCTCCAGAAGTTTGTGCTTATGCTGTTCTTCCTTTTTTTCTGGAGGAGCACGTCAAGAAAGCCCTCGCGGACGAGGAGGCGAAGATGATTCGCAGGGTTGCGCCGCTCACCGCCCGCCTTGTCTCGCGGGGAGGGCCTGCAGGATTTCAAACACTGCTTTGTCTTTTTTTTGTTCATCTTATTGTTTTCGGAGTGTCAACATGGTGCTCCCGCTGCAGCGTGGGACTCGTTTTCGTATCGGCGCTTGGCTTCCGTCGTTCAGAATGGCGTTTTCGCCCCAGCGCGGGCCACTTTGTTGGATCCGAGTCTTTCTCTTAATCGCTGTCGTCCCCTTCTTTTCCCCGCCTCCGCATTCCCACTGGTCCTCCTGCTCCTCGCGCTCGTTCCACTCCAGCTCCTGCTGCTGCCGTTCGTACTCGTCCTCCTCCTTCCTCATCCTCCTCCTTTTCCTCCTCCTCCTCCTCCTCCTCTTCCTGCTCCTCCTTCTATGCACGCAGCTCCCCTTTTTCGATTGCGCATAACGCGATGTTTTTTCGGGAACTCCAGGTCCGCCATGACTCGCGTCTGCGGGTAGAGAAGACATCAATGCAATGGTAATGGATGGGGGAGAGGGGTAGGACGTCAGATATGACGCGAGCGCAACTAGCTTGTTCTCCCCTCCCTCTTCCCCCATCCTCCTTCTCCTCATCCCCTCCTCTTGTGAGAGTGTGGCGTGTGTGTGTGTGTGTGGTGTGTGGTGTGTGTGTGTGTGTGTGTGCGTGTGTGCGTTCGGGGGCGTCGTAGAGAGACCTCTTATGCCCTGGCCTCTGCCGGGGCTGGTCGGATCTTGTTCGTGAATTCCAAGGTCTTCGCAGACGAGTTGTGCGAGAAGCTGTACGAGGCCCCACAAGCCGCGGCAAGCCTCGCGCCTGGAGCAACCAGAGGAGGTACTCTGGGCCACTCGACGGGCGCGAGGAGAGTCGCGCTGCGCGCGTCGCGGCAAACCTCGCGCCTGGAGCAGCCAGAGGAGGTACTCTAGGCCCCTCGCAGGGCGCGAGGAGAGTCGCGCTGCGCGCGTCGCTTCCTCCGACACCGCTGGGAAACGGGCGCTCAAGCGCGAAGATGGCTGCAGTCGCACAGCGCGAAGCGCAAGCGAAAGGTGACGCAGGCATCGGTCTGCAAGTGGTGCTCGCCCACTGCCACTGGGTGCCGGCTGCTTCCCCTCGGCGTCGCCTGGGCGTCTGGAGCCCCCAGCCGGCCTCCGCGATTTTCGGGCCGCCCCTTCGGCAGAGGGCCCTTGTTTGGACATGTTCCCGTCGTGATGTACGACGGGAGTTTTGGCGGTTTTTGGCCCCTGGTGCCCTCGCCAGGCCTCAGGACCGTCAAAAACTACTGGGGATGAAAAGCTGCCCCTGGGGAAAGGGTCGGGACTTCTGGGGGCCCCGTATGGAAAAAATGAAGGACATCGCATGTTTGGGTGCACACCGCCACCACGCCCGGGCTGGGCGAAGCACGGTGCTGCTGAGTGTAGGTGCCTTCGGCGGATCCCCAGGCATCCGACGATGGATGCTTGCCAATGCGCGGCCCTGCTCTGGGGAATTTTTCCGCCCCCCTTTCTGACGGCCCCCTGCGTCCGAAAATGAGCCCCAGGGGCCAAGGCCGAGGGAAAAAAATGCTCGGGTTCAATAAATCATACCGGAGCGTGCGCACGGGGCACCTGCCACCGCGCCCATCCATGGCCATCCCAGGCACACTGGGATGGTGCAGAAATCCTCCTGGCCTCGGCCAGGAGGGCGTACACTTGGCCAGGCATGGTGCTGGTGGCGTACGGGTGCCGGTCGCGTGCCCTCAGGCTTCCTCTTTCCCTCTCCTCCTCCAGGGGCCCTTTCTGAGCCAATTCCGCGCCTGAGCCCCCTTCGGCCGCCGAGGTGGACCCACGATCGGCCCCACTCGGCCGCCGGCTGGGCTCACAAGGGCTCGGCTCCTGCCGGCGCCGGCCGCCTGTCTGACGGCCGAGAGGGCTCGGGCACCGCAGGGGCTACGAGGGGGACCTTGGGATGCAGGCGTGTGGATTCGCGGCGGGATCCGTTTCAAATACGACCGCGGCGCGCTCCGTCGCCACGTCGCGCGGCGCGGGCTTCCCGTTGAGCCTCCGACCCGCAGATCTGGCGCCCACGTGCCATCCGAGGCGGGGCTTTCATACATAGCCGCCGCCCGGGGGATCGGTCTCGGGGGGCCTCGGCAGGCGGTGATGGAGGCATTCGGGCTCTCTGGGGCCCGAGCACAGCCATAGCAGCCGCCCGCAGGGGTTTCAGCACGTCGGCTCCACGGGCGATGGATCCTGGATCCACGGATCCGCAACCCAGGTCATCGTGTGCCCGGCTTGGATCAGGAGGGAAAGAAACACACAGACACAATTAATCTCCCAGTGCCAGGAAAATATGGGAAAATATGGGAACTGGGCGGGAAGACAACAGCCCAGAAAATATGGGAAACTATGGGGAATCATGTTATTTGTGTGTCTTTATTTGTGTGTCCTGGGGCCCCTTCATTGCAGCGCGCGCGCGCGCCTCCGCGCCTCGGCTGGCCGCCCTCCCTTCACAGGGGGGCATCTACTGCGACACGCTCCACGGAGGGCGGCCGCAGGAGAAGAGGCCGCCGACGGCGGCGGGGGGGGGGGGCGGGCGCGGTGCAGAGGCCCTGGGCGTGTTTTTCGCCCTCCTTCGCCCTCCTCCTCCTCCTCCTCCTCCTCCTCCTCCTCCTCATCCTCCTCCCCCTCCGTCCATCTCCGCCCTCTTCCTCCCTCGTCTCCTCCCCCTCCTCCGCCATCATCCGCCCTCCTCCGTCGAGGGTCGAGGCCTCCGAGCGTTTTTTCGCCCTGGTCGGGCCTCCGCGGGGCCTCTCGCAGCCGCGGCCGGATCCCCTTCGGAATCCTTGCCAGAACGCACCCCAGCCCAGATGGCCATGAAGAACAGGATCACATACGTGCTTGAAGCCATGGTTTTCGGGATCCCTTGGGCCCTCACCGAGTCCTGGGACAGTGACAACACAGCCCACTGTGAGACGCTGGTCCTGGGGAGATCCCCCTGGTCAAGGACCCGTTTCCACCAGGACCCTTTTCCCCTCATGCCCCAGAGAGGAGTGATCAGTATGCAGCCTGGCACGTTTGTTCCCGCGGTGCCTCCCCTTGTGGGGTGTAGTCCCACCTCCGGGCGCAGGTGATAGAGTTCTGTAGCTATTCCATTGCCCCGCAGTGCTACCAGATGGGCGATGCTGATGCGCTCATTCTGTTGGCTGCAGGGAGTGTGGGCAACGCAAAGGCGGAGGAAGAGGGGAGTCATGGGAACCGGAGGAGAACGACGTTGAGGAGAGGGACGGTGGGGGGAAAAGGGTGAGGACACGGACAAGCAGGACCAGTAGTACGAGGATGAAGAGGAGGAAGAGGAGGAGGAGGAGGAGGAGGAGGAGGAGGAGGAGGAGCCAGACAGGGGAGGGATGATGATACTGATAATGATAATGATACTGATGATAATGATGATGATGATGCTGATGCTGGTGATGATGGTGGTGGTGGTGGTGATGCTGCTGCTGATGACGATGATGCTGCGGATGATGATAATGACGACGATTATAATGAGGATGCGTATGAGGATGATGATGGTGATGCTGATGCTGCTGATGATGCTGATGATGCTGATGATTATGATGAACATGATGGTGGTGATGGTCGTAGTGGTGATGGTGATGGTGATGGTGATCGTGATGGTGGTGATGATGGTGATGGTGATGGTGACGATGATGATGATGATGATGATGATGATGATGATGATGATGATGATGATGATGATGATTGTGATGATGATGCTGATGGTGCTTACGGTGAGGATGATGATGGTGGTGCTGATGATGATGCTGTTGATGATTATGCTGATGGTGGTGATGATGATGATTATGATGCTGATGATGATGAGGAGGATGCTGAGGAAGAATAGGATGAAGACGAGGATGATGATGAGGAAGACGAGGAGGAGGAGGAGGAAGAGGAGGGAAAGGAGGACGAGGAGAAGGAGGCGCGTGAGAAGACGGGACGTTCCCTGTAAGTCTGGCGGGCGCCGCACCTTCTGCCTTGCAGTACGTTGTACATTCGCTGCTCTATGACGATAGTGCGCAAGAGTTTGTTTCCCTACCGTGCAAGTCGCCGACGGTCCGTGATAATGCCATAACTCCCTGACTTCGGTTGGTCCCGCGATGGACCGCGCCCTGCTATCTGGCGGCGCCTGCAAGGGGTGGCGCGAGGGGGGTGGGCCTCCGCGAAGGCACGAGGGGCTTCCAAGAAGGCACGGGGGGCTTCTCAGAAGCCCGCCCAGCTTCAAGGAGCCTTCTAAGAAGCGTCTGGGTTGCTCAGAAGCCCCGTCGCGCCGCCACCCCGTGCTCGCCGCCAGCATGTCCTCTCCGTCCTCTCCGTCCCAGTGGGCCTCGCGGGCAGGCTCCTGGTGCTCGACCAGTTCAGGAAGGGCAGGACGCAGCTCCTCATCGCCACCGACGTCATGGGCCGCGGCCTCGATGTCGAGGGCGCCCTCACCGCTTCGACGACAACGACGACGATGATGCTGCTGATGATGATGACGATGCTGGTGATGCTGATGATGATGATGGTGATGTTGATGATGATCGTGATGATGGTAGTGATGATGATAGTGATAATGCTGATGCTGATGAATCTGGTGATGATGATGATACTCATGATGATGATGGTGATGCTGACGACGACGTTGGTGATGCTGTTGATGATGATGCTGATGATGACGACGACGATGACGATGATGATGATGATGATGGTGATGATGAGAATGAGGATGCTGATGCTGATGATGATGCTGATGATGGTGAGGAGGATGATGATGCGGATTCTGATGGTGAAGCCGAGGATGACGATGACGATGGCGACGACGACTGCGACGATGATGCTGATGATGATGCTTCTTCCGATGCTTGTGCTGATGCTTGTGCAAATGCTGATGCGGATGATGACGATGACGATGCCGATGACGAAGACGATGGCGCTGGTCATGGTGACGGTGATGCTCATGCTGATGATGGAGGCGGGGATGGTGATGATGACGGGGACGACGACGACGATGGTGATGATGCTGATGATGATGATGATGATGATGATGATGATGATGATGCTGATGCTGTTGATGATGATGTTGATGATGATGGTGATGATGATTATGCGGCTAATGATGATGATGACGATGATGGTGGTGGTGGTGGCGGTTGTTACGACTATGCAGCTGTTTCGGTTTATGCTTACGAGGACGATAATGTGGATGCCGACGACGATGATGATGATTGTGGAGATTTTGCTGAGGGTGATGATGATGCTGCTGCTGCTGATGCTGCTGATGACGATGATGACCATGATGATGATGGTTTTTGACGATATTATTATTTTTGATGTTGGCGAAGACGATGACGTCGACGCCGACGACGATTAGAGTCCTGGTGCAGATTATGATGAAACTGATGATGCTGCTGATGATGATGATGATGATGATGATGATGATGATGATGGTGATGATGATGGTGATGATGATGATGATGATGATGATGAGGATGATGATGATGATGATGATGATGATGATGATGATGATGATGATGATGATGATGTTGTTGAACATGATGATGATGCAGATGATGATGTGGATGATGACTCTGATAGCGACGACGCTGACAACGATGACGTCGGCGACGATGATGGTGGTGGATAGTCTAATGATTATGGTGATGCTGCTGCTGCTGATGATGCTGATGCTGCTGATGATGATGATTCTGCTGATGATGATGACGATTCTTCGAGTGGAGGCAAAATGGTGCGACGCTGCAGGCTTGCACAGCAATCTACATTTGTCTGGCAGTCCAAGCTGGCAGGCCGGGCCCCAGCGAGCAGTCGGGCTCGCGGCAGGCACAATTACGCCTGCTTTGAGTTGATTATGCTTCGCCAGACAAGAGATGCCAGAGGGCCCCAGTACGGTGGACGGCTGGCAAGGTCCTTCGGCGCTGTCCGTGTGTGTAGTGTAGGTGTGTGTGTGTGTGATCGTGTGTCCGTGTCCCTGTGTGTGTGTGTGTGTGAGAGTGGTGCCCGAATTTGGCCGGCTCGTTTTCGGCATGCCTGGCATCGCCCCGTGGTGCTTCCCTTGCTGGCTGCCCGGCGTTATCGCTGGGCGTGCGACTCTATGTCGTGCGAGCGGCTTCTCCGCCCTCACCGCGCGTGCGGCGCCCGAAAGCGCGCGTGCGCTTGTGTGTGTGTGTGTGTGCGCGCGCATGCACGCGGGCGAGCAGCTTGGGAGACAGGCTTGTACACACGTATGCCGATATATAGGTCTAAACACATCGATTCACACAATATCACATAAACGTATACAGAGACATATTGTTTGAGAGAGGGGGAGAGAGAGAGAGAGAGAGAGACCGAGAAAGAAAGAGAGAGGGAGAGATACAAACAGAGAGAGAGAGAGAGAGTTACCGAGAGAGAGAGAGAGAGAGAGGTAAAGAGAGAGATAGATAGATAGAGATACAGAGAGAGAGGGAGAGGTAAAGAGATAGAGAGAGAGAGAGAGAGCACGCATCACCGGCCACCCGCCTCACGAGGCCGCAGCCAAGCAAGCGACGAGGGCCTCCCGACTCCGCAGGGCTCGGCGAGGCTCCATGCCGCAGAGGAAGTGAGATGGCCTGCGGCCCCCTGAGGGAGGGAGGGTGAACCAGGTCCTCCGACTGCGTTGTATTGAGCAGTCGCCGCGACTTTGCTGACCGTGCACAGCAGGCTTCCGCCCCGCGCTGCTCTCCGTCGGCTTCGAGCGTGGCCGCAGGCGCCTTTTGGGCCTTCCGCCCGCCCCGCTCTCGAGGGGCGCGCGCTGTGCCGCGTCGTGGTGTGCAGCTCCCGCTTGACTCGCAGTTCCTCTCGGCGGCTCCTTTCGCAGTCTCTGGCCCACGCTCTCGGGATCACGAGTGTCGCCCGAAGCTGCAGGGGCCTTCGCGTTTCCAAGCGCAGGGTCCAGAGGCTACGCGTCGCTGCACGTCATCTCCGGCCCACGCTGTCGGCTGTCACGCGGGGAGCTCGACGCTGATGCTTGGTTCTTGTTAGATGTTGCGGGTTCTTCGCAGGCTGCACGCCGCTCTGAGCTCGTGCAAGGTTGGAAGGCAGGCGGTGCGGTTTCGTCGCGGGCGAGCTCCACGGGAGCGTCTCCCGCTGACGGCCGCCGACGTGGCGGACTCGGCAGACGTTTGCATGCTGGATGGGGCTTCCATTCCGAACAACGACCCGCACAACACTTGTCATCATCATTCGGCCTCGACCTGTGAATCGCTGGACGAAGACCCCAGAGTCAGCCCTGCTGCTTTTATGCATGGCTGCGCGGTCGGTCACCCACAGAGGATGGCAACAGCACTACTTAACGGGCGAAGAACGGTATAACATAAACTTTTTCGCTGTCGGGGGCGCATGTCCCTGGGCGGCTGGAAAGTTTATACCCTTACGGTGGTTAAGTCACCCACAGAGGATGGCAACAACACCACCGACGGTGCGTGGTACGGGCGCAGCTTGCTCCCCTGCCTCGTTCCGACTTGCGATGGTTGCCCTGCAGCCTTCGCCGTGTGCCAGCGGCGCCCGCTGGCTGCCCGCCGTCACCTCGCCTGCTCGCACGGTGTGTCAGATGTGGTGTGTCAGATCGGTGAGATTCAGGAGGAAAAGAAACACACAGACACAATTAATCGTCGATTCCCCAGAACATAAAACCAGAAATTATAGGAACATGTGGGGAATCTTTCAATTTGTGTGTATTTATTTGTGTGTCCCAGGGCCCCTTCAGGTGTGTCAGACGTGGTGTGTCAGATCGGTGAGATGCAGATCGCAGGGAGATATGTCAGACGTGATATGTCAGATCGTGATGAGCCTGGCGCCGCAGAGAGAGAAAGAGAGAGAGAGAGAGCATTTGCAGAAGCCATCCTTCGCCAGACACTCCTTCAAAGGGACGGGCATTTAGCGTTTGACGTAGCTCAGTGGCGCCACGATCGCATCGCTGCGCTCCGCATCGTGCTGCTTGGGGTCCGCTCCCCCCTCCTCCCCTCCCCCCCCCAACAAAAAAAGATCGGTGAGATGCAGATGCCCAGCATTCCAGCTGCGTGGATGTTCAGTCGTGCCCTTCTCTGCAGGGTGGCTCGCAGGGCGTGCTTCCCAGGAGGTGGGACTTCTGATCCACTGCTCACTTGGACCATCCGTGCACGTGCTGGCCTCGCTGACACTGCTCTGCGCTGACACTCGTCTGCACATGCCGCAATTACTGTGTGTGTGTGTGTGTGTGCGTGGGTTTCACGCTTCGGGTGGAAGAGTAACAACTGCATCAACATAAGCTTTCGGCGCTCCGCGGACTTCTGAATAAGCGATGGGCCCCCCTGGCGGCGCCTCCGGCGCCGCCCCTGGAGGGGGGTCAGCGCCGATCCAAGAAATTCGCGCGGAGCTCCGAATGTTTATGTTTTTGCAACTGTTTGTTCCCAATCATCCTGTGGTGTTGGGTCCTCGTTTTGAAGAGACAGCGCCCCGCGTTCCTCTCCTTCCTTCCTTCCTTCTCCCCCTCCTCCCTCCCCTTCCTCCTCCGATCCCTGCCTCTGCCCTCCGAACCAGTTAACCATGTTGGCACACCCCTCACACGTTTCGTGGCCCCATAGGGAACCCCACCGAAGGCCCAAGTGTCAGCGCTCGCACGCGGCCGCCGCACCCATTTTGGCACACCCCTCACACGTTTCGTGGCCCCATAGGGAGCCCCACCGAAGGCCGAAATGCCAGCGTTCGCATGCGGCCACCGCACCCATTTTGGCACACCCCTCACACGTTTCGTCGCCCCTAGGGAGCCTTACCCAATGTCCACTGCCAGCGTTCGCATGCGCTCACCGCATCCATTTTGGCACACCCCTCACACGTTTCGTGACCCCACAGGGAGCCCCACCGAAGGCCCAAATGTCAACGTTCGCATGCGGCCGCCGTACCCATTTTGGCACACCCCTCACACGTTTCGTGGCCCCAGGGATGCGGCCACCGCGTTCATTTTGGCACACCCCTCACACGTTTCGTGGCCCCACAAGGAGCCCCGCCGATGGCCCAAATGCCAGCGTTCGCATGCGCCTCTTGCTCACATTTTGGCACACCCCTCACACGTTTCGGGGCCCCACACAGATCCCCACCGAAGGCCCAAATGTCAGCGTTCGCACGCGGCCGCCGTACCCATTTTGGCACACCCCTCACACGTTTCGTGTCCCCATAGCGATGCGGCCACCGCGTTCATTTTGCATGCGGCCACCGCGCCCATTTTGGCACACCCCTCGCACGTTTCGTCGCCACATAGGGGCCCCCCCGAGGGCCCAAATGCCAGCGTTCGCATGCGCCGACCGCGCCTATGTTGGCACACCGCTCACACGTTTCGTCGCCCCATAGGGAGCCCCACCGAAGGCCCACATGCCAGCGTTCGTACGCGCGCACCGCGCCCATTTTGGCACACTCCTCACAAGCTTCGCGGCCTCATAGGGAGCCCCACCGAATGCGGTGAGTACAACGGCTATGCCCATTATTGCATATGGTTGGGTTCTTCGCCAGGTTAATTATATTTTGTGCGTTGTGCATCCCATGCAGATGTTGTCTTGCTGGGCGCTACGTTGGAGTGCGCCATTCTCAGCGCGCCTCGCCCTCATCGGCGTGATCCGTCCCCCAGCTCTTGATCCCTTCTGTTCCACCTTGTGTCCTTTGCAATTTTCCCTGCTGCTCCCTGTCACCTTTGAATCGGGGGGGATGTGGGCCTTCATCACCAGCTTCTACGATGCAGACTCGCAAGCGTAGTTCGACTGGGCATGTGCGCCAACCCCGAGTGACTCATTCGCAAACGTACGCACGAACCTTCACAATTTATGCCAAGTCATGGTTTCGCTCTTTTGGCCTTGCTGGATCCTTTCCTGCGGAAGGCGTAACCCACGTCGTTGTCTTCGAGATGGGTGGCGTCGAGGACGGTCTGGCCAAGCCTGCATCCCTCTCTATTTCCGTCTCCTCCGTCCCCTCTTTGCCTCAGCCCCACTTGCGCCTCTCAGCCACGACACTATCCACCACGGTCACCCCTTTCAGAGTTCACTTGGAGAGGTTGTTTTGTATTGGTGCCGATTTCGTCAGCCCGGTTCGATTCGGTTCCGATCTGTCTTACACCGGGTGCGGCCCGGTGTTTGTATTAGGGGGTTATATGTGATTTTTTTTTATCCCCCACGATTTCTGAGGGGGAGGGTGGGGTTCACTTCGCTCGGGAGCTCCCGAATGAAGTGAACCCCACCCTCCCCCTCAGAAATCGTGGGGGGTAGGGGTAGGGTTCGCATGTGCCCCCCTATGCATGGCGTTGTCGTGCGTCCTGGGGCGGTCGGTCTGGTTTGGAGCCGATTCCGCGTCGGTGCACCCGACCCGACGCGCGTTCCGATCCGACCCGACCTCGCGATCCGATGCCCGCGGATCCTGCCTGCCTGCAGGGCCGCTCCTGGAGTCCCTGCGCTTGCCGCAGCGAGGAGGGGGAGGAGGAGGAGGAGGAGGAGGAGGAGGAGGAGGAGGAGGAGGAGGAGGAGGAGGAGGAGGAGGAGGAGGGAGGAGGAGGAGGAGGAGGAGGAGGAGGAGGAGGAGGAGGAGGAGGGAGGGGAGGAGGAGGAGGAGGAGGAGGAGGAGGAGGAGGAGGAGGAGGAGGAGGAGGAGGAGGAGGAGGAGGAGGAGGAGGAGGAGGAGGAGGAGGAGGAGGAGGAGGAGGAGGAGGAGGAGGAGGAGGAGGAGGAGGAGGAGGAGGAGGAGGAGGAGGAGGAGGAGGAGGAGGAGGAGGAGGAGGAGGAGGAGGAGGAGGAGGAGGAGGAGGAGGAGGAGGAGGAGGGTTGCTTCTGGTGCCCTCAGGACTACATACACCGCATCGGCCGCACCGGCCGGGGCAAGAGCGGCAAGGGGCACGCCCTGGTCTTCTTCGAGTTCTCCGACAAGCACCCGGACTGGGCCCTGCGCTCGGCAGACCTCCTCCGCTCCCCTTCGGGTCGAGTCTCCTGGAGACTCTGATTCCCATCGAAGAAGAAAAAACGCCATGAACCTAATCTCTTGGCGCTCAGCGCGGATTTCTTGGATCCGCGCTGGGCCCCCCGGCGGCGCCTCTGGCGCCGCCCCTGGCGCGCTCCGCGCGCCAGGGAGGGGGAACTCCGCGCGGAGCGCCAAACGTTGCTGCGTATGCCGTGTTTCCTCCTTCCAGGGTGGTTATAGGGTTCTGCTTCAGGGTTCTAGGGTCTTTGAATGCCGTTTATAGTCTAAGCTTGTGGTTACTTGTGTTCCAGGGTCTGGCGAGATGAACCTGGGCTACCGGGCCCGCCCGGCCGCCCCCCCCACCCTTCCGGATAGCCTGACTCTGTTAGTTGCGCAGGTCCACTGGTGCGCGCGGGCATACGCGGGGCTGCCCAACGCCGAAAGGTTTGGTTATCGGCCAGCACTTGCCCCCCCTTCCCCCCAGCGAGTAGCCCGGGTTCTCTTCGGCAGCGAAGCACGGAAGCCTTGCGTGTCCTCGCGATTCCACCTTCAGAGTGCACCAGCGTGCGCCAGCGTGGGATAACCGATAGGCGAGCGCCCCGATCCGCAGCAGGAAGGAGAGAGTCGCAATGATAAGGTAGTAGAGCACCGCGCGTTGCATGTCTTCGCAATTCCGTCTTTCGAGTGCACCAGCGCGCGCCAGCGTGTGATAACCAATGCGCAAGCGTCGATGTAACGTCGAGCAGCGTCGGCTTAGCGTCGGTTGCCATTCGACAGTCGGGACGGTCGAAATGGGTACGGAACGAATGGGTGCAAAGACCGACAGCAGTTCTTGTCCATTTCGGACAGGACTCGCTGTCCGCGCCGCCGCGGACGTTGCCCCTTTGAGACCAAAAACCGCCTGCCCAACGTTGGCTGTTGGGCATTGTGCCCACTTTTTCCGTGCCCACTTCGGGCGTCCAATGCAAGAGCCAGCAAGATGGCGTGGGAGGCTCCCGTGAGGTTGCACGCACCAAGCCATCGCAACCCAACCCGAGGGCCTCAAGTTGCCCCCCTTTCCCAGTGATGGGGGTGGGGGGGGCGAAGGGGAACACCGCGAAAACGCATGCGGAACCCGTACCCCACCCCAAGCCCGAAAGTTGGGCCTTCGGGTTGGGTTGGGGTGGTGCGGTACAGTGAGCAGCTTGAATAAGGAACACCTCCTTTTCAAAAGGGGCTCGGTCGTTCCTTGGGTTTGCATGCGTTCTGCTACCTTTTTGGCGGCGAGCCCCCCTGGTGTTCCTTCGGACTTCGTAGACTCACTTGGAACGACAAGGGGCTTCGTTCCTTATTTATCGTTCCTTAGGTCAGGCCGATGACTGTGGGCAGTCAGTGAGGCTGCCACCGAAGGCTGAAGCGCACGGAGGATGGGCGACGGGCCCCGCCCCCTCCGCGTGCACGGAGCTCTCAGGAGAGGAAAAAGCACCCAGACACAATTCACCCTCGCTTCCCCAGAAAATGTGGGAAAACATGGGAAGTGTGGGGGGGGAAGACAGAAACCCGAAAACATATGGGAAAACATGGGGAATCTTTTTGTTTGTGTGTATTTCTTGGCGTGTCCTGGGGCCCCTTCAATGATGGGCGCGCGCCGCCGCCAGAGGGCGCGCGGCACTGGCTTCCTGCCCTCGCGGGTGGCTTTCGGTGCCCTCCCCGGGGGGTCGGCGGATCCGGCGCCCTCGCACAGAGCAGGAGCTCGACCACAAGAAATGCCTTCCACGAGGAAGCCGACCCCGAGGCCCCAGCACGTCCATGGATTCTTTGGTTGCCGCCGGAGGCTGAAGCGCACAGAGGATCGCCCCCCCCCCCCCCACACACACGACCCCCCCCCCCCCCCCTCTACCCTCGCGGGGTGCCGCATGCACTCCTCCTCCTCCTCCTCATCCTTCTCCTCCTCCTCCTCCTCCTCCTCCTCCTCCTCCTCCTCCTCCTCCTCCTCCTCCTCCTCCTCCTCCAGTCGCCGGCCCCGCCCCCTCTATGCGGAGGGAGTTCGGCGCGCGCCTTCCGCCAGAGGACGCGGCGCGGCACGGGCCTCCTGCCCTCGCGGGGCTTCCCGTTACCTTCCCCGGCCAGTGGGTATCGGGCGACCGCGCGCCAGACCCACGGCTCCGTATACAGCGGGAATTCGACCACAAGAAGCCTTCCAGAAGAGACCCGACCCTGAGACCCCAGGACGTCCACGGATTTCTCTGGTGTGGAGGCGCCACGCGTTCCAGATATATAGCAGAAAACCAGCGGAGCCCGAGCAGCCCGGGGCACCCTGGAGACAGGCAGGGTGTTTTTCTTGGCACGGGCTTCCGCTGGAAGCCACGCCCGCCTGCGCCCGACGAGTCGCCGGCCCCGCCCCCTCTCCATGCGGAGGGAGCTCGGCGCGCGACTTCGGCCAGAGGGCGCGCGGCACGGGCCTCCTGCCCTCGGGGGCTTCGTTTATGTCGGGCGTGTCCCCCTACAGAGAGATTTTCGACGAAAAAATACAAATACCCCAGAAATATACCCAAAAGGCAACAAAAATACTCAACAAACAGTCCCCAGACTATTTTTGGAGTATTTTCTGATTATTTTTTGGGCATTTATTTATTTTTCGTCGAAAATCCCCCTGTAGGGGGACAGGCCCGACTTAAGGCTTCGATGCCTTCCCTGGTCGGTGGGTATCCGGCGCCCTCGCGCCAGATCGACGGCTCCACGCGCCACAGTACCCATCGGTCGTGGAAAGGAGGTGTTTTGGGACTCCCAGATCTCAATCTATTTTGAGCGCCTTCCTACTTCAAGGATCGACTTGCTTCACCTTTTCCGTCCTCTTCGGGGGGCGGGTGGACACCCGACTTTGTGTTTCTGCCTACTTCTTCCGGCCGGTGGGTACCCGTGACGGAGTGACTACCCGTCTCGGTGGCGTTGGGCCTCCCCGGGGCTGAACATCTTGCGCATCGGACGTCGCTGCGCCTCCCTGGGCTCCCCTGGACTTCCTGGGTCCCAGACCCCCGGGGACGCCCAGGCGGGGCGCCAGGGCTACAGGCAGGACGCTGAAGTAAGGAACAGTTTGGCGTCGGTTCCTCCAGTTCTCTTCCTCTTGCCCTCCTGAGGCACGGAGGCGCTTACAGGGCCAAGAAGGGGCTTCGTTCCTTGTTTAGCGTTCCTTCTTTCAGCGGTGTACAGTGGGAGTACATGCCAAGAGGCACCCTGCTTGCCTCTGGGTTTCTCGTGTCTCGATGGTTTTTTGCTACATGGAAACCGTGACGTTCCCACACCAGGAATCAGTGGACGTTTTGGGGTCTCAGGGTCGGGTTTCTTGGGGAATGGGTCTTGTGGTAGAGCTCCAACACCAGAAGTCAATGGACGTCCTGGGGTCTCAGGGTTGGGTTTCTCGTGGAAGATCTCTTGTGGTCGAGCTCCTTCTGCATGTCAGCCTGCGCCCGACTGTCGCCGGCCCCGCCCCCTCCACACGGAGCTCGGCGCGGCACTGGCCCAACGCTCTCGGGGGTTTCATTGCCTTCCTCGGTCGGTGGATCTCTGGCGCTCTGGTCGGGGCTCGAGAGACGGGGGTCCAGGCAAATGGAGGTCAGCCAGAGCGCCGGATCTCGCAAGAGGGCCGTAACGGGCTGTGACGGGCCGAGGGGAGCTATATGCATGTACAGCAGGAGGGGCAGAAGCACACAGACACAACAAGAGTCGGCGACTCCCGGGGAAGATATGGGAGCAGATGGGTCGGGGCTCAAGAGACGGGGGTCCACGCAAACGGGGGTCGGCCAGAGCGCTGGATCCTGCAGAACCCTGCAGGGCCAGGGCTGCACCGACCCGACCCGCAGGACTCTACAGGATCCTGCAGGATCCTGCAGGATCCTGCGAGGCCCGACTGACCCGGGGTGTGGATCGACCCGGGTCAGCAGGTCCCCGCCCTCGCGCCAGATCCACGGAGGCGCAGTCTTGGCATCGCTCGGGCGTGTGCTCTTCTTTTTCTCTGGCGAGGGCCATCGAGAGGCACCTTGGATCACCTTGCGAGACAAGAAGCGCACGAGCTCGAAGGATGCACGGGGAATGGACGTCCGAGCGATGGCGAGGCAATCCATGCCAGCCTGCGCCCGACTGTGGCCGGCCCCGCCCCCGCGCACGCCGACTGGTGCGGACGTGGCCCCTCTGCGGGAGGGGATGTGGCCACGGGGGTGGCATCCCCGGCCCCGCCGCTGCGGAGCGCCCTCCCGGGGGGCGTCTCGTGGGCCTTCCCGGGGTCCCGGCGCGGGTGCGTCGGTCGAGCAGTTGGGCGTTGCGTAATAGGGGGGTCATAAATGGGGGGGTGGCGAGGGTGGTCCGAAAAGGTACCCAAACGGTGCCTAAACGAGCCCCCTGGGGCTCCGGAGGGGCCCGAAAGGGGCACGAAAGGGGACCGTTTCTGACCCCCCTATTTGTGACCCCCCCATGAAGCCACGCCCAAAGCAGAATGGTCGGCTCGAGGCTGCCCTCTGTCGACTACGCGTAAGAGTGACCCTTCGCGCGGGTGACCTTTGGGGCGTGCCCACTGGGGCCCCCCGATCGCCGAGCGCGATGCGAGGACTAGTAGCGTCTTGCGCGCTTGGGTTAGGCTTTAGTCGGGCATGCAGGAGGAATATTCGAGAGCCCAACCCGAAATTCGGGTCTTCGGGTTGGGTTGGGGTGGTCTGGTAGGTAGTCATTCTTGGGATGCGGGCCGGCTGTGTGTGCAGAGGCACCCGTCGCCAGCGGCCGTGCCGCCTGCAGCCATGTTGGCTCCCTCCACGTTCTCCCTGTCCGCGCACCTGTCGAGCCCCTCCATATAACATCGGGCGCGGGAGCGCACCTGTAGGGCCTGCAGACCATTAACGGGCGAAGAACGGTATAAAATAAACATTTTCGCCGTCGGGGGCACCTGCCCCAGGGCGGCTGGAAAGTTTATACCCCTGCGGTGCCACCGTAAGGGTATAAACTTTCCAGCCGCC